CTCATTGTTACACACTACTACTTGTCTTCTTTCCCTTCTCCTTGTTTTAACAGAAGCGATGGTATTTAATTTAATCCACCCAGAAGCAATGACAGAGTCAGCAGCTGATATGCAGCTAGTGCTGGTTAGAACTTGGAATTACTCTTTTGTGAAGAATGTCAACATTCTGACATTTGTTGCTATTCTCAGAGTAGAAAGGAACTGCATATTCATCTGGAAATTTTGAAATGTCATGTTGAAATCGCAAATTCAACTCTGAATCTTGGAATTTCACCTTTTATTTCATTTTACATTAGCTTTATGTCTTTTTTAATTCATTAAATGCCAAAGTAGAATATTTCAGGTAACTCTTTTTCATTTTATTTGGGTTTGCTTTATTTTCGTATTTTAAAAGTAGGGGAAGCTACTGTCTCACAGTGATAGAAAACCAACTTCAACCATCATTTTACAAAGTCTCTGAATCCCATACAGTGGAAATTTTCAATAAGTGACTTTTGGGAAGAGGACACTTGGGTGGAGATATGAGATTTTTGGGGAGAATACACACAAAGGGAGACAGTGCACAGCAAGTTGCCTGCCTTTCCCCACAAGCAAAAAGCAATGCTAAGAAAAAATATATCCCTGTGACAGCAGGAGGGAATCTGGCATATTGCATTTATTCATCTGCAGAGAACAGTCGCTAGATTAACAGCAAACAGCAAGAGCATTAGTCTCAGTTCAAACGCAAGTGCCAAAGGTATCTACTTTATGTGAGAGATGGTAGGCTGTAAAAATTATTAAACCAGTACAAGAGAAGTGCATCAGTCATAGCAAAGGACACTGGTGAGCAGATGTTGCTGAGGCAAAAATGAAACTTCCAAGCGAATGCCTCCATCACAGGTATTAAATCAGTGGAAAAGCTGACAAAAGCTGTGTAAAATGAGAAAAAAGTAAGTAGTCACAGTCCCCTCTTGGACACTGCAAGTTTCACGAGACCATGCCAATGCTGGTGGCAGCAGGCTGCAAAGAAACACCACCTCCAGCAGTGGTTGAGGTCTGCTAATCATGAGTGGCCACCACCACCTAAATCATGCCAAATGCATAAGCTGTCTTGTTAATTTTACCTCCTAATTTCCAGCTGTCTTCCTACTTTATTGCCTCAGCACTTAACCTAGAACAGTACACAACACTGAAGGGCTCATGCTCCATATGCACCAACACTTGTATATGTGTAAATGGCAACAATGTGACTCATGGCTGGTGTGAACTAAGAGGGACAGGGAATGTGACTTGTACCACGTCAGTAAGAACAGACACAGCTACCAAAGGGACACTGCTCCCTTGTTCCTTCCAGCAAATCCACAGCAAAGGAGCATGGATTTGGATGCTGCAGTAAATCAGAGCTACAAGAAATTTTTGCTCTCCCCAAATGTGCAGATTGCTCTCAAGAGATGAGTGAGTGGTTTCGTTAACATTTCCACCATTCTGGACCAAACCCACAAGCTATCTCAAGTGATTTCAATGGCACCCAGTCTGGATGCTGAAAATGTGGTTCCCCAGGCCTTTTAGTACATTCAGAAAGGGGAAGGAGAATACAGAGGATCTGAGATCTAGGAAGAAGAGACCTCCCAGCTGTCTACAGTGGCCACCCCTCAAATATACCAGGAGACACATGAGTTCCCTGAAAGGTCCACAAAGCCACCTGGGGTACACACAATAGTGTCTCAAAAACACTCAAACATGACCAAGAACAGTGAAAGTACCTAGGCCTCTTTAGAGATACGAGAGTTTGACAAGGATGTTTGGCATCTTAAGCAGTCCAGCACAGAAAGACTTGATGATAGCTGAGCTGGTCAGTGGTGGGAATTTTGTCAACTCTATTTTAGCCACAGGGCAAACTTGCAGGCATTCTCCATGTCAGAAACTGGCTTTGCCATTTTATTTTTCCTGCTGTGGACATCTTGGTGCCAGAAATCAGTGTACCTAATGAGTCACCATGGTCTTATGCCCTCTGGCCTTTGGGAGGGGCTTCAGATTTTGACTTGGTCTGAACTGGCACAGCATCGCTGGCAAAAAGTATGAGAGCACCCAGTCATGCCACATGTTTCTGTGATGGTCTCATGACAAATCTGCTGCTGCTCCTACAGAAATCCCCACCACCTACCACCCAGAGGAGACAGCTCCTGAGGTTTTTGGTCAGGAATGCCCTTGAGGCACATGAAGGTTTAAATAAGGACATGCATTCCACCAGTTAATTTCCTAAGTGGAACTTGGGCATTAATGCTAGACAGGGTGATACAAAAGGCTAAAATGCACAGAGATTTCACATGCATGACTCTCACATCCATAACTGGCCCAAGACCAGAATACAACACAGCACTATGTATGAGTAAAACTCATTGTTCTCAGCAAGCTTTAAGAACCAGTACAGATTATTTGCTGTTCCCATACCAATCCAGATTTATTTTGGATCAGCAGCGACTTCAACATGATTAGTAAGAAGCAAAAAACACAGAGCCACAGTACCATGAACCAATTCCTAGCCAAAAATGCAAAATATAGACTATTTCCTTTTTTCCTTTTTTTTTTTATTTTTTTTTACCCTTTAAAAGCCCTAAATAAATTTAATGAAAAATTTTACCTCTCACAGTGATGGATCATGAATTAGAATTAAGGACCACGAACTTCTAATCTGAGATGGATTTGTTACAACATCCTTAGTATTTTGCACACAGAATGCATTCAAAAGTAAGAATGCACTTTTCTGAACACAATTAGAAATTGTTTCATATTTTGAGACCATTCCCTTGCAAAAAGAAAGATTCCTAAAGGTCTTCTTGCATTTTACGTGATATGCATTAATGCCCACTTCTCACCCTGGCTCTCAAGTCAATTTCCTTAACTGAAAGGCCTCAAACCAACCTTGAAAAGGCAAAACACAATGAAATGCAGAAGCCAGTATGTAGGAAATACGTTAAAGTCCACACTGTAGCCAACAAGTCAAATTACACTGACAATTCTCCCTATCAGGTATCTGTTCTAACATAAACTTCCTTCTTTTTCTCCTTTAAATAAAGTATTTCCAAAAAGTTGATTTTATGAATGAGTTACTCTGCAAAAAAAAAGAGCATGTGGTAAAAATGGACAACACTGCTTCACTAGCAAAATATACAGTGTTTTATTATCGAGCATCTCCTGTTAAGATCAACTTCAATTCTTCACCAGTTACACTACATATGTTACAAAGCAGAGATTAAGCAGAGTCTGCCACCAGTATGTTAGAGAAGAGTTGTAAGTTCAAAAGCGAAATAGGTAATAATGCAGATATTTAGCAAGCTGGAAGGGAATGAAAGGGAGTCTGGTTTGCAGAAAAAATGAAATTATTTTTATAGAGATACGTAAGAAGTACTTCTGCATGGTATTTCCAAATGCCACGTGCACACATACAAACAGATATCTCTATATATACATATAGATATAAATATATATATGCACACATGAAACCCCAAACTTGAGCTAAATTAAATTGTCCTTCCAACTTTGTAATGCAAATGAGACTAACAGGCTTGTGCTGTTTGTGGTTCGAGATGATTTGTGTTTCCATAGAGATGCTGAGTGAACTAAAGTTTTTCAATTTTTTTTTATATATAAGCCTACTTGTATCTATAAAAGCCTAAATATGGGTCTGCTGTACCTCAGCATTTCCTCAGTGACTCCACTGGAACCACAGCAATTACACCAGTTAAGGCTATGTGCAGATTTCTTACCTTTCACTACTTCCCAATCTAAGACCTATACCAAATACCTGCACAACCGAGAGTTTATTACTTCTCTTCCCACTCCTAGCTCCTTGGTAAGGAAGGGGAAGAAAAGATAAAAAGCAGTTTCTTAGCTGCTAGTAGATAATATTTCAAAGACTTCTGTAACGTACTGCCCTCTCTAAACTGCTTGAAGAAACGTCTTCACCTTCAAAAGTTGCCAGTGTCAGGAAATCTCAAATTTAGGGAAAACAGTCTGTGTGCTGCTAGTGAAGGAAATGCCAAAAGGACAGACATTTTGCTATGTGTCAGAAGCTTTTCCGCCCTTCCCTGTGAGCACCCGCAATCTGATGAACCGCTGAGATGAGCCAGGGTGGGCCTGAGCAGTGATGGGTTCACTGCCTTCCTGCCTGGGCTTGGATGTCCTCACCCTTTGGTGGAGCCCAAGCTCATCATACACTGTGAGGTTCCCACAAAGCTAAAGTACTGTGTGTCCCCAGGGCCATGACGGGGACAGCCACCAACAGAAGTGACAAAAGCCAGCCAGCATCAGTTTGGGCAGAGAAACCAGGCAGACCAGTTTAGCTTTCTATTTCAGTTGGCTTCTCTTTATAAGGATCAGGTACCGGTTCAAGTGGATAGAGGCCACCTCAGCGTACCATCACTTGAGAGGAAAATCAGAGCTGAGCTCTGTGGGAACTTATTTCCATGTGGTTTCAGCGATAAGTGATTTTTGAACAGCAACACACTAGAGGTCAACCTCTGCAATCGCTCTGAACCACAATCAAAACCAGCCTCTGCATACCTCCTATCTGCCTAAGAAAAGGAAGGATTTGTCTGGTGAACAGAGCTGTCCACAAGCACATGGAGTTCCCAGCCTCTCATCTGATCTTGGGTATGACTGGAAGGAAGGACCCAAGTGTAACAATGCCATACGGAGGTATGGCCAGTGAACTCTGATGGTAACAGCATGTCAGAGGGATGAAACCTTGCCTCTGCCCGCCAGGTGATGCCACATCCCCGCACGTGATGCCCTGCACAAGGCTGGCAGTGTTTCCATGTCCCCACAAAAGCCTCATTTCAAAGCAGACAAGAGTTCCCTATTTCCAGCTTTTAAGAAGCCATGCAGAGGGAGACCTACCCAAGCCTTCGCAGGTGCCCCTGAACCCCGCCAGGCTGCCTTTCAGGGAGGGTCCCAGGGCATGTTCAGCCCTGTGGCTCTCCACTCCTCCAGGAAGTCTGGTGAACACTCACATCTCCTACCTTTTGCTGCAGCGCAGGTGGCTGTGGGGCCAGCACGGGGTCGGTGATGTAGGTCTTCTTCGTGCCGGGTGGCTGGTAGAGCCCAGGAGGACCCTGACCCACGGTGTTACTAGCAGGATACGCTGGCTCAGCCTTCCAGGAGCTCTGTGGCATGTAGGGTGCTTCGGAGCCGTTCCTCCCCCCATACCCCCCATAGTAGGGGTCTTGGTAGCGGCCCTGTGGAGGTGCATAGCCATAGGGAGGCTCCGAGGGCCGGGCAGGCGGTGGGGCATAGCCATAGTCAGGCCCGTGGGGCTGTGGAGCGCCATACTGCGGGGTGCTGGGCAGGCGGGCCGGCGGGGGAGTGTAGGACTGGCTGGGCCCCAGGCTGCCATAGTGCACAGGCTGCGGGCCAGGTGGTTGGTAGTGCGGGCTGGGCTGCGCTGTCCTCACCTGGACATTGAAGGCCGGGCGGCTGGGGGTAGAGGCTGTGGCATAGGGGGCCGGCACTGGTTGTGGTTTCAGGGTTCCAACAGGAGTGACCGGGATGGGTGCTGGCTGCCCTGGGCCCTTGGCGGTGGATTTCTTGGTGGCTGTGAGGGGAGGCTGGTTGGGGATGATCATCCGCTTGTGGCCAGTGACAGGGGTGGACACAGATGGAGGGGTGGCAGCGGAGCTGCTCGAGGTGCCAGAGCCCTAGGGAGCAAGAAAAGAGAGCCACAGAGTCAGCAGGAGGGGCGTCAGGTCAAGCAGTGAGGAGTTAAGTGGAAATGGGGTTTTACACTAACATCTGTGCAGTGACTCAAACTGCTTAGGAAAGCAGGAATGCACCTGAGACCACACATTATAAAATGGTAATAGGAACCTTTTCCTTCTCTGATAAAACAGGGACGGCGCCATGGCAGCCCAGCAGAACTGCCGTGCACAGCGTTTTGTTTCTCCTTGGAGTTTTCTCCTCTGCCTCCAAACAAGCAAACTAAATCCCAACAAATGCAAGAAAAAGGGAGACTCACTGGAGAATAACTAGGGGAAAACCCATCCATTCCTGCGAAAATGAGAGTATTTTGAAAAAGACAGAAAATGAGATTACGGTCTCTACAGGGACATGAAAATCACTGCCTCTCTAGAGCGCTTGTAGGGTATGGCCCTCAGTACCAGAGCTTCTTTAACAATGCAGGAGGCAGCAGACTGGGATGGCCTAAAACCAGATTCCAAAACTTAAGAATTAACACAGATCAAAGCAATATATGGAGATGTCCCTGTCCCTGCTCTAAGCACTGCTGGTTGAAAGCCTGGAGTGACCCCAGAGAAGGCAAATGTTTCACACAGCTCCTTAAAGGGAAAAAAGTGGGTAAGGATTCCTGAGAGCTTCAGAAGTCAGCTCCCACCACAGCAGCTACGCAACCCTGTACCAGCACACCAGGCACATCAGCCACAGAAGAGGCTAACAAGTGCCACCACTTCCTGTGATTTGGCCACCAAATAAAGATTTAGTGCAGTGACACTGTCCTAATAGGTATTGTACATACTTCTGTGTAATGTACTTGTTTGTCTGTCTTGCCTCTTACTTAAAATCCACCTCCAAAAACACCAGCATGAAAGGACACCTTTGTTAAAGAGCTAACAATGTGAAATAGTTCCTGAAGAACACTGAAGATGACACTTAAGTCTATTCAGTAAATCAAAGAAGAGCAAATTCGAATTTTTCAAGTTCAGGATTAGATAAAATTTATTGCTTCTCTACTTTCCTTTATTCTGAAAGAGTACCTGAATTTCCTGCCTTCCTATCCAGAGATCCATTAAAGAGAAGACAGTTTGACAGTATTTCTTTGCTGTTTTACTTAGTGACATAGTTATACAAGGTTATCTATCATTGAAAATTCCTGGGCTTGATCTCACCCATGATAATCCATAGCACCCAAAGTTTGATAATCTATAAGCAGCCCAAAGTCAGACCAGCTCAGCCCCCACCAGTGGTTGTCACATTTACCTAGATGACTGATCTTGCATTTGCTCCCAAGCGTTCCTGCTTTACGCAAGTACCCTGACCTCTCCCTACATCCCCATCACCCTCTTGCTGGGATCGCTGGACAGGGGAGAGATAGAGGCTCATTGGGACACCCTCAAGCACAAGCTCTACCAGCACCAGAGAAATCCTTTGCCTGGTCAGCAGGTGGCGGCAATAAATTGCTGCCAAACCAACCCGTGCCAGTGGCTGGAGAGGGACTTCAACCACCCATTTCTCTGGGCCACCAAGGGTACCAAATTCACCTTCCACCGAAGGTGGGATAAAGGCAGACGCCCCCACCCATTTGGCAATCACCACATATGAAGAAAAGGGAGGTAAGTGCAAGTCACTCAACTTCTAATCCACAGCCCACAAGCAAGTCTAGCAAAGGAATAGCAAAGCTCTGTTACCCATTTGGTAGCTCTTCCCACTAATATGTCCAAATACATTTTAGCTGATGCACTGTTAGAGACCTTACCCCTGCAATTACACCTTCAGGGCAAACCTTCCGTGAGAGTAAACCTTCCACAAAGAGTCACTATAAATGAGAAAAAAAAACAAACAAACCAAACCAAACCCCAGGCAAGTAAGAGCATCAGTCTGTTTTGAGAGATGAACAAGGTGTGTACACAGAGGTGGGGAACAATAAGGCAGCAAACTTTTGCTGGAGAATAAAACATCTCAATGTGTTAAAATCCTGACCTTGCCAACAGATCCAGTAGTACAGGGCAGTACATGGACAGACTGAAGAGATTTTGAAACTGAGAACAAGGAAGAGCTGAAGTGCGTCTCAGTTGAACTGCACAGACAGAGACAAGTTAAAGGTCTGTAGCCCTCCATTAATACTGTCTGATTCTTCTATTTCTGAAACACCTGGTAAGGAACAAGAAATTGTCTATTCCTCTGTCCGTGCACAACTGCAGCAGCACTCATTGCTAGCAAGAGAATTTGCTTTCTGTCAGAATTATTCTCACTTATCAGTTTAGCATTTATGCCTGGGAGTGCGAGAAATTTTCCCATTTCCTCACCTATTTCATTCCTGTAAACGAGAGTAGTTTGTCCACTTACTGTAATGGGATGAAAGGTCCACAATGCGGCACTGTGTAATTACCACCAGAAAAGCCTTTTTCTTTTCCATGTGAAGGGGGAGAAGGTAGATAATGTTTTAAAGACAATGGGCTATCAGGGATGAGGGAGGAAAATCCAAACCAAAACAACATAAATGAGCCCTATTTATCACATATTATGTTTCTGAACACAGACCGTGGAAGCAGGTGACAGACCACTAGTAAAGCTCTTGTAATGGAAGTCACTTCACCTAATGTGTTGATGCCAGTCTCCTGCCTGGACTGGAACACACCTTAAGAATGAATAACTCCTTTCTCAAAAACCTGCCTGCCTATTGACTGGCACTCTGAAAGGCTCTGAGCAGCTCCTATGTTTGACGCTACAAAGAGAATGAGCTGAGAGTCTCCTCTCCTGCACCAGTGAAGGAAGAACAAGCTGCAGGTGCCTGGGCCAGAGACCAAGCTTTGCCATCAACTTTACAGAAAAGGCTCAAGCTAACAAGTACCGGCTGCATTGTGGCATTCAAACCACAGGCTGCCTTGAGGAGGAGGAAGTTTGCATCAGTAGGAGTCCCCAGAGGCACCCTTTGTGACTCATTCTCAATTCCTCTGAGGGTGCTGGGCAAGAGTGTGATGAAATCTGGGCTTCAGGGGGAGGAAGACCATGCAAGGCTAGTTAACGTGGTGTAGCAGAGAAATGGGACAGGTCAGAGGGAATTTGACACTACTGGAGCACTTATGATTTATGGGGACACAACCTGGCTGCAGCTCCTGACCAAGGGCACAGGTGAAGTATCACCATAAATCCGCTGCCCTATTGCCTGCAAGAGAGAAGGATGGCCACAGTCCAGCCTTCTGTAGGTCCAGCCATGCACTCAAGTATCACCCCAGGCTTAAACCTCTAGATTATTAATGGATTAAGGAAAGACTTTATAAACGCACATGAACTATGGACAAGATTCCTCCTCTGAGGACAAGCATGTGTGGAAGGTTGAGAAAAGGGTACTTAGATACCACAGGGAAGAGTGATTTCAACAGATGTCTGGAAGGCACTAGGAGGATAGGAGGGACAGTTGAGGCTATAAAGATGCCTAGTAGATAGAGAGGGAGTAATGAAGATAAAGCTGGGAAGGGCTACCTGTATCACTGTGTGCAGTCCTAGCAAAATAGATGACTGTCACAGATGTTTCATCCCAATGAGTCCACAGAACTTGTACTAGCGTAGTGAAGTAGACGCATCCAAAAGCACTTCAAAGTGATAGCCCAGAAGTATGAAAACAAGTAGAAATAGGAGAAAGAAAGAAGAGGATTGGATTCATAGGAGTACAGGCAACCATTACTCCAGCAGCTCCTGGACAGCTCATTTCAAAACTATTGCATTTGCAAGTGACTATTGCAGCCAAACACACTCTCTGACACACTCTAAGGGCTGTTTTCAGAGGAAGACTGGCTTTCCTCTGCTCACCATGCACTACAGGAAACTGTCTGACACACTTCACAAGTGTAAATTAGAACCACGCTACTTACCATCAACCCCTTCTTGCAAATTAATATTTGCAAAGAGAGTAAACTAGAAACCCCAGGTGCTGATAATGCAGAGTTGTTAAGAGAAACTAGAGTAGGAAGGAGTTAAATTCAGAACCTGATCTACCACAAGCATTGTAATACAAATTTATTTTTTTTTTTTTAAATGGGGAAAGCACAAGAGCCTTGTTTAAACACCGATGGAAGTACCTAAACGTACTGCCTCTTCTACAAATAAATTACCCAGCAGTTCAAATAAAGGTGAACTAATACTGACAAAATCAAGTAAAACTCAATCAATGTGGGAGTTAAAAAATCCCAAAAGAATTCTCCTTAAAAAAGTTACCATGTGTAACCATCAGGGGAATCATTTTGCTTGGTAACTCCTGCCCTGCCTTCTTACTTGCACTGGAAGATTATAAACATTTGCATGAGTTTCTTGTATGAGAAATCCAGGGTTTTGTGATAAACCTGTGCTATCATAGGGATCTGACTGTCAAAGCTGAGTGTCTGGATTCAAAGTTACCCTGGGTGGGAAAACCCAAAATCCTGACTGTGTGATTCTGCACTCTGTAGAAATGATTTATAAGATCTTAAATTAAATTCAGTGTATACAACTAAAAAGTCATCACATACATACTATGGATTAAAGCTGTTCTTCTACAGAAATTTGCCTGTAATTTTAGTTGTTGGTTAATATTCAAGGATCACCTACTGCAAGCTCAGGAGCATTGTGTCCCAACTAGAAGGAAGTGCAGCAGGAGGGCTAGGAGACCTCCTTGGATGGATAAGGAGCCACTGAGGAAAATTCAAAGGGAAAAAGAGGCTTATAAAAGGTGGAAGCAAGGACAGGTGGTCTGGGAAGAATACAGGGATGTTGTCCAGGAAGCTAGGGACCAGGTTAGGAAAGCTAAGGCCCAGTTAGAATTAAACTTCGCTAGGGATGTGAAAAATAACAGGAAGGGATTCTATAGGTATGTAGTGAATAAAAGGCAAACTAGGGACAGTGAGAATGGTGATCCTAGGCCCACTGTAGGAGAGGATGTGGTTCGAGACCATCTTAAGAACCTGAACGTACACAAGTCCATGGGACCTGATGAAATCCATCCTCATGGCCTGAAGGAGCTGGTGAATGAAATTGCTAAGCCACTGGCCATCATATTTGAAAAGTCATGGCACTGAGGTGAAGTTCTCAATGACTGGAAGAAGGGAAATATAACCCCCATTTTCAAGAAGGGGAAAATGGATGACACAGGGAACTACAGACCAGTCAGTCTCACCTCTGTGCCTGGCAAAATCTTGAAGCAGATTCTCTTGGAAGGCATGCTAAGGCACATGAAAATCAACAAGGTGCTTGGTGACAGCCAGAATGGCTTCACTAAGGGGAAATCCTGCCTGACCAATTTGGTGGCCTTCTATGATGGGGCTACAGAACTGATGGACAGGGGTAGAGCAGCTGATGTCATCTACCTGGACTTGTGCAAAGAGCTTGACACTGTCCCACACGACATCCTTGTCTCTAAATTGGAGAGACATCAATTTGATGGATGGACCACTCGGTGGATAAAGAACTGGCTGGATGGCTGCACACAAAGAGTTGTGGTCAGTGGCTCAATGCCCAGATAGAGACCAGTAACGAGTGGTGCCCCTGAGGGATCGGTGTTGGGACCGCTCTTGTTCAACATCTTTGTCACTGACACGGACAGTGGGATTGAGTGCGCCCTCAGCAAGTTTGTCAATGACACCAAGCTGTGTGGCTCAGCTGATACACTGGAGGGAAGGAATGCCATCCAGAGGGACCTTGACACACTTGTGAGGTGGGCTGATGCCAACCTCATGAAGTTTAACCATGACAAGTGCAAGGTCCTACACCTGGGTCGGAGCAATCCCAGGCACAGCTACAGGTTGGGCAGAGAAGAGATTCAGAGCAGCCCTGCGGAGAAGGACTTGGGGGTGTTGGTCGATGAGAAAATGAACATGAGCTGGCTGCAGTGTGCGCTTGCAGCCCAGACAGCCAATCGTATCCTGGGCTGCATCAAAAGGAGCGTGACCAGCAGGTCGAAGGAGGTGATCCTGCCCCTCTACTCTGCTCTCGTGAGACCTCACCTGGAGTATTGTGTGCAGTTCTGGTGTCCTCAACATAAAAAGGACATGGAGCTGTTGGAACAAGTCCAGAGGAGGGCCACGAGGATGATCAGGGGACTGGAGCACCTCCGATATGAAGACACACTGAGAAAGTTGGGGCTGTTCAGCCTGGAGAAGAGAAGGCTGCATGGAGACCTCATAGCAGCCTTCCAGTATCTGAAGAGGGGCCTATAAGGATGCTGGGGATGGACTCTTCATCAGGGACTGTAGTGACAGGACAAGTTGTAATGGGTTAAAACTTGAACAGGGATGTTTAGACTGGGTATAAGGAAGAAATTCTTTCCTGTTAGGGTGGTGAGGCACTGGAATGGGTTGCCTAGGGAAGCTGTGAATGTTCCATCCCTGGCGGTGTTCAAGGCCAGGTTGGACAAAGCCTTGGGTGACACGGTTTAGTGTGAGGTGTCACTGCCCATGGCAGGGGGGTTGGAACTAGATGATCGTAAGGTACTTTCCAAACCTAACTGTTCAATGATTCTACCTTTTGTCAGGGTTAAATCTTACGGAAAAAAAAGCACACAATAACTATAATCTACAGCATAAGCATGATTCTATAAGATCAGCTGGAACTCTTATGAAAATTACTTCATTCTCCTTTTATTTTGTGCATTTGTAGAGTATTTTCTATAGAATCCCTTCAGTTACTCAGTTTCACAGACTGGATCAAAAATGCCAACATGAAGTTTATCACATTCTATTCAATTCTCCAGGCATTTTTCATAAAGGTACAGCTGAATAGCTTTAGCCCTTTAGCTGTTAAATTACCACATATAAAGACACATTACTCCAACTCAGTGGTTTTCAACCTTTATGCTCAGCAGCCCCCAACTGTTTTTCAGGAGAGACAAACTCCTTTACAGAGAGTGTTAATCTACTGACAATAAACACGGGTTTTTAAGTTACCTTTCACTGAATTCTTTGTTACCTTAGGAGTGATCATGGACTGTCAGGGTTTGCAGAGCAGAGGTTTAGAACCATGGCTCTATCTACGGCTGCCTTTTTCAAGCATTTACCTCAGGATAGGAGTGAAACAACCCTTCTTCCTCGAAAGGCAGAAAGCTAGCAACTACTGGCAGATGGAACGCAGGGTGCAGCATTCTTAGGGGCTGCTACTTCACAATGCCAGTGCAGCATCTCTCTTCACAACTTGGCCACTCTTCTTCATGGTCCACTGACACAAGCCTGACTAAAACACAGGGGAGCTCAGGCGTGTGCCAGCTGAAAACTTTTAAGTATCAGTGCTGGTGGTGGTTGGAAGCCTGGGTGGCTTTGAAAGGTGGAAAATTAACTTGGCTTCTCCTAACACAGCGGACTGGCATTCACCTTGGCTAGCTGGAGGTGCTTAAAGCTCTCTCTGTGAAATATTTCTCTACAGGGTCATTTATCCCATTCTAATATTGAAACCTAAAATAGGGAAGATGAATCATCCACTGGAGGAATCTACTTCACTCCACTGACTGTAAAAGAAGCATAAAAACAGCCAAGAGAAGTTACTGAATATTTAGACAGCACAAGTTAGTGGAGACAAATTCCACAATAAGCAGGTAATTTTGATGTGACTGTAAGAAGCACAGATATCTTTTCCCTGCATTAAGTGCACTGCCACTCAAGCTCAGCTAGTGATGTGCACCAAGGAGATTCCTGAGTGCCAGTAGCTCAGATGATCAGTCAGGACACTGCCACACCATGAAGCCGATGCACGACCCAGAAGCTAGGCTGCAAATGCACTTCTCACGTATGAAGGGGGGATGACATGGGTGGGCTGCCCTTCCACACCTCCTTTTCCGCCTCTGTGCTGAACAGTGACTCCTGCTGGAACTGAAGCTGCTGCCTTGCCAGGAGCAGCAGCTGGGCTGATCCTCCTTCCTGCCTGAGATCCCAGCTCCCCCTCAATTTGGGAAGGATAACCTCAGAGAAGAATCAAATACTGTGCTTTGAAACTTGGGCCTTTAGGTACCTGCAAATGTAAACAGGCATTTTATGGAGTTTCTTGATGCGCAGACACATCTAACTCCTGCTGACTTCAAATTCTGTATTTGAACAAGCTACCTTGCTAGTGATAATGTATGGCCAGGTTCCCCTAAACATATCCTCTTTTTCAGTCTGAATTAATACCTAGGTGAAAAAGAGAAATCTGGCCTTTCATTTGGGACTTGCAGACATCTGGAGTCCTTGCAGAGCTCCAGCTGGGTTGCTGAATGTCCAGAGATTCTGGACAGATGCACTTCTCCTGTTCAGCATACCTGATGCATTTTCAATATTCAGGATTTTCTGGCCTTTATTATAATGTCCAGATAGTAGGCAAAACACACTGAGGAGACGTCAGTCCACTTTGCACTTGCTGCTAAGCAGGGCACACAGCTCAGTTACAAACACAGATTTCTTTAGGTGTCATAATGCCCTTAGAAGCTGGTCCAAAATCTTGAAGTCAGCTCCAAAGCCTTAAAACCCTCAGTTAAAACATGCTTATAATCAGGTGAAGCTTTTCTTTATAGTTTCATAATTTTCTCTTTTCTAGCTTACAGCTGACAAATGTGCGTCACAGAGACATGGGCTACGCATGGATCAGCAGTCATACTCATACTTCCCAGACGTGTTTATATGGCATTCAGCTTGCTGGCCTGATCACCAAAAGCTATCAAGGTATTCAAATGGATTGCTCCTAAGCATTATACCAAAAGAAGAGAAGAAATCTAATAAAGTGTTCATCTCTGGCTCTCAGATGAAGAGAATACCTTACAGATGCCATAAAGCATTACAAGAACACAACTGCTTCTGAGCTTTGATCTGTTTTTCAGCTGCTACCGCAGGTGGAAAAGGAGTCAACAGAGTTGTTAACGTTTCTGTTCACAACCTCTTCTGTACTCCTTGTGATGGCCCAGCTTGAAACATAAGGGAGAAGGTGGTGCACAAAAGAAAAGGTGATAAAAACTTGACCTCTAATATTTTCTCGGGGGAAACTTTTCCTTTCAGAAGTGATGTGTGCAGTTACAGACATACACCTTGGTTCAGCATTCAGTATGGGTGTCAAGTGTTTTAGGCAATCTGGGTTTCCACTTTCCAACACTCCATTAATTCCAAAGAGCCTGAACACATCTGAAAAGTTTGGTCTCCAAAACACAACAGTGTTATGCCAGGGAAGAATTTTGCTTTTCCTTTCCAGTTTTATATTTAATGTTTTATTTGTTTACCCCAATACTATCACTACAATGACCGCTATGAACTTTTTTATGCGTTTTTCCCTTTCTGTTGAGTGATCATCGTATTTATGAGGAGGATTATGTGAGAGAAAGGTTTTAAAAGATGTGCAAACAATTTACCTGAATACTTCTAGCTCTGTTGGACAGTCAAAGGCCACCATTTTAGCTTAGTTCATTGAAAGGGCTAGTTATGATTAAAATTCTCCTATTTAAGCAATTCCACTTGACCAGTTCAAATGCCATAGCAACTTCATTTACAAGAATATCGGATATCAGCACAAGAAATAGCTGTCAAAAATTCCAGAAGATGCCAGTCATGAGAAGTTAAATGTTTTCTGACATTTAATCCCAATTCATCTTGGGATATTTCTGTAATTTCCCACTCTCATCACTAAAATAACAAATTTGCACCAGTCTGGACCTCAGGAACATGCAATGGCAGCCCCTTGAACTAGCCGAATCAGTGGCACATCAACTCTAGCAATAAATTACGTGAGGAGCTGTGTGCCACAGCCATTTGGTTACATCAAAACGCAGAACTACTGAATACGGTCCTGGAACAGAAGACCACAGAAAGGGTAGAGCAGAACCATGTGAAGACAAGTCACTATGTGCATGGAGCAGGGAAACTGAGCTCCTTAATGATCACCTTCTCTGAGGCTTAGCTTCACAGGAATGTCCAAAGCATTTCCATTCAGCAAACTGGGCCTTCTAACAGCCTGAACAAGTCTTCTTGCTTAATTTAGGCAAAATGTTGCCCTGTCTGACAATGGGGAAGCCCCCACTACACCTATAAATAAGAACGTTGGGTAAGCCAAGTATTTTTATGACTTTTGCTATTACTAAGCTAGTGAAGCTTGAAGTATCATAATTACACTGCCCACAGACTTAAAAACATTTTTTCCTTCCTTTTATAAATTGCTATTTGTAATGAAAAAGAAGCTCACATGCATAATAAATATGGGCAGGTTAGAGGGTTATGTAGATTGTGCCGCTATCCATGCATGTACATCATGATTATAAAAAAGTGGATTTAAAAGGTATAATGGAAGATGTGTGAGGGGAAGGGATGTGCACCTGTGAGTGACAGGACAAAGAACACGTATTCATGGAGTCCTCTGGATAAGTCTTTTGCTACCTACAAGGAAAAGTTATCATTTTCTATTGTGTGCTGAACAACGGATTTAAAGAACAGTCCAAAAACTCTATAAAAGCTTCTCATTTCCTACCAAATTGCAAAGGAGTTTTAGAGTGTTTATAGAGTATGCAAGCTTTCTTCCTTTATTAATTCTAGAGAACATAAAAAGTGTGCATATGCACAAATAAAATAATATGAAATACATATGCACTCAGACACGACCTGGTTTACTTTCTGTTACTTGTAATTTGTTTACAATTACAATTATTTGCTGCATTGCTTGCATTTATAACCTATTTATCTTTCCAAATTCCAAAACTCTATCAAACCCAATTTAAAAAATTATTCTTCCAGAGGGCATTAACATTTTCAAATGTTAGTATTGTCTCTATTTCCTGTGAAAGCCATGTATTTTTATTCTTTTTTCCCCCACCTTTTAAAGCTTCTGCAAACAGTCATACAGAAGAGCAGAAGCATCAGCGAACAATTCTGTGTTCATACAACATCTGCTTTCTTACGGTTCACTTGAGGTCCAGAACCCACCGTCATCTGCCAATATTTTTAGTGGGCTCCAAAATGATTCAAGTTAGTAACTTGAGTGGTTAGCAGCAGAGAAAAACTATACAGCCTCACCAAAAAAGATTACAGCTCAACCAAAAAAAAACATAAAAGACAGGCAGATGTGACAGAGAGGTTATTTTCCTATTAGGTCCGATGTACACCTTTCCAAAAGGCTGACAAGCTCCAACAACAGGTCAAATTTAACTGTTTTCCCAGACGGCTCCTTCTGGGAAATGGAGTGGAACATTCCCTCATTTACCCGTCTGCCTGGGTTATCACTGCTGACTGAAATACCTTAGTCTTTCCACAATATTGCAGACTCCAAGTATGATGTTGAGAAACCTGATTGGAAAAGTTTTCTTTCACCTGCTGTGGCTTTTAAATATTATTATATAGGTATATAAACACATACACAAAGATACACAGAACATACCCACTGCAACATGTCCTGTCAAAACACCAAGGCAGTACTGTAACAAGTCATGAAAGGGAAAGAATGCACATTAATTTATAGCACAAGAAAAAATGCCATCTGTACCACAGAAATACTCAAGTATAAAACAATATAGAAAGAGTATTTTTAAATTAAAGTATTAATTCAGAATAATCAGTTTCATCACTATTTTCCTCTCTTCATAGAGAACATATCATTATATTAAATGTATGGTTAATAAAGTATTTACTCAAAAGACACACTGATAAAAATTTATAATCATAACAGTATTGCCCTAAAAAGCCTGTGTAAAGCAATGCCAAATGTATGGCCTCCCCAGGCTTGTTCTGTTGCAAATGGCATCATAAATTAATCCAGTTTTCATAAATATGTCTTGAGGAAACAAACCCACAAATAGCCATTTTAAGTTTAAATATAAAAACCACAAAAAAAAAACCCAAACACCAAAGAACAAAAATATCTTCTCTTCATTCTTAACCAGAACACAAGACTGTGTTTTTAATGACTGATACTGCTGAATAGGTCATCAAGTACTACCTAATGAGTCTGATTACCTTATGATTTATAATTTTCCTCATTTACGCTGTTTTTAGACCAAACATCCACCTGATTAGGTTGAGGTTATCACAGTCACAGAATATGCTTTATATACTTCTTGCTGCCTGAATTACATTTTTTAAAAAGTGCCTTACATCAACCCAGATTCTGATCTCGGTGATACTGGTGCCAGCTTCAGCACATCTGTTAACTCCAGCAGATTTACTCCAAACACTCTAGCTATTGCAGATCAGGATTTGGCCTACGACTGTCTCTGAATTTGGAGGGGTTTTCTCCCCACTGGGAATACAGCAGAGGGTTTCTATGCAAACTGTAACAAATCCTGCAGATCTAACCTGCTCTAGGCAATAATCATTTGCTTTGCAAAAAACTCAACATCTAAGATCTTGGCAATTCATACTGCCGCAACCTGAACAAAAGCAAATGAAATTTATAATCGAGGCTTAATATAACCTGCATTGGACTAAACCTTAGTGCCTCGAGGCACTCGGCTCGGCACATAACAGCAACAGCATCGACCAGTCCAGCTCTTAAGCCAGCCATGCATCTTGACCTGTGCACCCGTCCACAAACACTTTTGCATTAGGAATTAAAAACAAGCATGCTAATTGAAAACAAACAGAGGTATCCTCCCTCTCTCTTCACTTCCTTCCTTGTGGTGGATGTATAAATGCATACTGATGGCTACTGGGATTTATAGCCTAACTGATTTTGACATTTTTAACTTCAGAATTTGAAACAGTGACTTTCTAACCCTGGGGCAGGAGTGCTAAATGCTAAAAACCCTTGGACTAGGGAGTATTAATTTAGTCCTTCTGAGCAGCTTGGATTCAACAACCTTCTAACAAGAGCTCAGCGCTCTCCAAAACTCAGCAGTGGATGCCCAAAAAACTGCAAGGAATTTTGGATCCAAAACAGAGTGTCATGGCTTTCATTCTTGTTTGTCACAGGTCAAATTAAGTTTCAGACCTGAACTTGAGGGGACTGGGAGAATTCAGGTCTGGGTATGAATTTATGGCAGGATTAAATCGTATTTCATTTGTAGCCTGCAACGCATTTTTTTTTTTTCTTTTTTTTTCCCCTTGTGGTTCGTGACGTATTCATATTTTAAGACAAAAACAAACATTCACAGAGCAAACGTTCTGGCATCACAAGTCATCAATAAATCTCTTTTCCACAACAACCCACAAGAATTCACTGCAGGACCCAATTGTTAAAACACAAAGCAATGACATTCTATAAGCTTTCAGAAGTATCATTCTAGCCCTTGTGGACTTGCTGAATTCTCTAAATGAGTCACTGGCCTCTCAACAGAATTATCTAAACTTAGGTTAAGCCAGGTTAATTCCCTTCCCCCTTTAATTTAGAAGTCCAGCTGCAGCACGTGGCTTTCCAGCGAAAAGATCTAAATGCAGAGCCCATTCACCCCAAACAGGAAATCTCACGGGACCCAAAGCTCATTTTTTCCTAAAAGCTAGAGATAAACCACACTAACGGGAAAAAAAAATGTGGTTTCCAAAGCCTCATGGGCCATGTGATATAAAAATCAATATTCGTCTTACATGGTACAAATCACTCTCTGCTGAAGGCCAAAGGACCATAGTTGAAGCGACTATAGCTGGGAGAGGCAAAAGGGCAGCTGCAAAAAATGGGAGACGAGGAGAGCAGACATTTTGACTAGAGCAGGGACAAGGGAGATGCCAAAACCACCCTTCTAACCAAAGCAAGCAAGCAGACATGACATTTGGGGTTGGGCTGAAGGCTTCAACTCGAGAGGACATCCCTTCTGCCCTGCATGCTGTCCTTGGAA